TTGGTTATAGATACCTGCAGTTGTTTTACAATTTATATGTTTAGTTTTAAATGAAGTTCGGATTTATTCTTTCTTTATTTCTATTCTATAATCTATTTCCTCCATTTTTTATATATATTCCACAAAATCATCACTGCGGCAGTCACCGACGCCGAGCGCATGCCGAGATCGAGGCGCGTAGGCATAGCTCTCACTTCGTCCGTTTGTATGGAGTTGGAATACTGTATAGATAAAATTACCGTGCTATGCGCGTCGAACCGCGCCACGTCAATACCGCTTTCTGCTAACACGTTCTTTTCCATCGAATGATAGTTTACATTTGTGTGCTGTGTGTGTACATTTGTGTGGAAGCGATTGAGCTAAAAATAATCAATTTACATCATTTTCTCCCCTTAAATCTTTTGTCAACTTTATGTAGTCTTCTAAGCATTATGCTGAACAAATATGAAGTACGGTAACAGTACGTTTGGCTGGTTGTAGCCTGAACCAGACGTTTTAATATGATCCGATACGTTTATAATTCTTTGATTTTCAGTAAGCACAATATCGTTAATTTTTATAACTGCAAGTGTTTGTACTCAGTGAATCGTGCACCCGACACCTATTCAGAAAGGAACCGTGGTTGAGAAGGCGAATATGGAAACAAAAGGATTCCAGTTAATGATTGTTAACAAATTTTTGCAGGCATTTATTACAAAATTACTTAAAATGGTCCCACCGTTTTAAGTAATTAAGCAGTAAAAATAATAATGATGCCAAGAGATCGTAAATACATCAATAGAAATAGAATCAGGATTAGAACTCCAAGAGATGTAATTCTCACACTTGGCGTTTACGCAAAAGGCGAAAAGGTCTATTTGGGGTTGGCCAAAGTGTTAAAGAATAGTTTAAAAAGGACGGGGACAATGCTCTAACTCCTTATTTTAGTTAACCCTTCTAGATTCCTCATCGGCTTGCACATTCTCTTTTGTAGATGTGTACGAAGCGAACAACCACACATTTCGTATTTCACACAACTGCTAAATGGACCTCGCTACTCGTTGTTCGTTTAAATATGGGAACTGCATGCCACCTATTCCGTTTGTGTAACTGACGGCGGTTGTGTTGTCTGTCCGCATCAATACGCCGTAATTGAATATTTCTTGAGCAAAACATTTAAGTCTAAAGAAAACTGCCTGGAGTTCCAGATAATCAATAATAATAATAATAAGGGACAAAAGTGACGCACCTTTTCTGATCTCAAGTTGCTCGCCTCCAGTCGCTCCTGAGTTGAGATGGAGTCAGAGTTGGGGATGGATAAGTATGCGGTTATCCATGTTGAAAGGCGAAGGGTTGCTAACTTTGAGGGCAAAACCTTATCTCTGCCCATTGACTTAAAGACCCTTTTCGGGTCTGAAACATGCCGATACCTGGGTATATGACAGAATTTCGGTATCGATGAGGCGGGTATGAAACGATCAGTTTTCGACGTGTTTTATGCACGCTTGATCAAAGTGATTAACAGCCTTCTGTCTCGCTTGCTTGAGTTTGGTAACTAGAGTTACCAACGACGAACGGCGTCATTTGAGTTTAGTTACACATCCGCCCAAAGCAAATCACACCTACCTACATAGATTAAAAATAAAAATATATAAAAAAATAGTTTGCGTTCAAGATGAAACACGTATTTAGGCATAATGTGCATGAAATCTTTTGCCTTTTAAGTAAAAAAAAATATATGAGACACGAGGCAGGCAGGCCGAAAAAAAATTATTTTATACGTCATATTTTATTGTAGTGTGTTGTTGCATGGTAATGTTCTGGTGAATATAATGTATTATAATTATGCTAGTAATATATAAGTCAATGATTATAATGAATTTTGCCGATATTTGTTTTTTAAAGACAAAAGAATATGGTAAGTTTTATCTTATATTTTATAATTAATTCTATTCAATTTTGTAAATTATATGCAAAATCTGATCTTTTCCGTACGCACGGTTGCAACGATTTTTTCGCTCACAGAAATTATTGTTGTATAATTTCTAATGCAAAAGGCCATTTTTAACAAAAATATATTAATTATTTATTTGTTTCCAAATAACTTTCAAAATATATCAATTTAAACGAGGATTTAAATTTTTTCGTAAAATATATGGTCAGCCGCGCCCGTACGACCATTTTTTTTCGCATACTTAATGAATCCAACTATATTTTGCATTCGTAAAAGAAGTAGTGGTCGCGCAAGTGGCGTTTACTTTTAGAAATATAATTTTATGAAAAAAAAATCTCGCTTAAAATCTCTTTTGCGTATGTTGGATCATGATTATTATATCCAAAATGCTACTAAATGAAACAAACGTATTCGAAAAGCATCCATTAATTCTTCGACAGTTATAAAAACATTACTTTGTTATTTTGTTTCGAGAACTGCAGTCATAAATCAATTGTTTTTTTAATACGACCAGACCCCTTGTGCGCACGATCCTTATCCTTAAATGGCATGACTATATTGACAACAAACTCAAGCCAGCGGGTAAGACACACGCATATAACGGTTGAGTAATGCCTGTCCTCATGTATACCTTTGGCACTCAGGTGAACTCAGGTTGAACTAACACCCTGAAGAAAAGTCTGCACTACCATGATTGACGTCCCATCTAATGCATCACCCGAGATCATCACTAATAAGGCTGTACATGCCACGAAAGAATAGTGGGCGTGGATTTATAAGCACGCTCACCATGCACAGTTGCGAAGTGTGCAGCCTCCGTAATTGTCGCCTGGCGAGATCGGATGATCCATTCTGTAATGACGTTATTTCTTGTGATAAGAGTACCCTTATATCCTTAGCCAACGAGCAATGGCAGGATCCGGTAGTACATACTATTTCCGACCGAGAGGCCGTATAGAAGGGGAAGGAGCTCCACGGGAGATTCTACAAGACTCTTCATGAGCCTTTCGTAGATAGAGTCGCCTCCCTCAAATGGCTACGTTTCAGTGACCTCTTCGGAAAAACCAAAGGTTTTGTCTGTGCAGTACAGGATCAAGTTGTGAAGACCAACATCTATCGGAGATACATACTAAAGTCGAAAATCTTCCTTTTTCGTTTCGCAAGTTTTTTAATAATGCTGCGCAAATTTTTTATAAGTTCTTCTTCACCTTTACGTGTAGACATAATCAACACGAAATTTGTGACTGAAAACTTGAGATGCGTGCGTATTCTACCTCGCATGAAAAGGTTATGGCATTGGGGTAAGTTGTGTGGATGGGGCAGCGATTAATTTGGTTTTGTGTCTATATTAAATCGAATTTAATCTAACTGCATGCATACCTACCTAGTTTGATGAGGTAGACTACCTGGTAATTTAACTTTTATCTATATCTGAAAATGCAGAAATGAAATATAAGTTACTTTATATTGGTAAATGCTGTGCTAACCTGTAAATAGTGAAGTATTTACTTAGTATTATTACTGATGTATTTGAATAATTTTAGTGTACTTACCGATGGTCAGCCAAATAAAATAAATGATCATACGGAAAATATATAAATATATTCCATTGGCTTAGAAACCTCTACCTGTAGCTCTACTATGTTAAAAATCTACGTTAAACATAGTAGAGCCACACTGCATATATGTTATGATTGCAGATTGAATAGGTCGGCTAGAACGTGCAAGGACTATGATCGCGCAAAGCACCTACTTCAAATAACAGTATAATGCTGCTGTATCTTGTATTGTGAGTAAGATACACTATTTATTGTTCATGAGGCATTTCCTTTCAGTCAGTTAAAAAAGATATTTGTAGTTAAAGTTATTAGCTTATACGCGATTGAGCCACGCTGCAGCTATATTATGGTTGTAGCACGAAAGGGTCGGCTTGACCGTGGATGGACCACGCTCTCAAAGAATACCAGCGTAACATAGTAGCTTGATGCTGCTGTGTTTCTTATGGTGAGTGTAGGGAACCGGAGAACTGTTTTAACGGAATCAAAGTATTCCATCTTAGTCCTTAGACCACGCATCTGCATTTTGATTCTTAATCGAGTTTAAATGTAGATGTCTATGGGCCACAACATCTTCTTACAATCAAGTGTACTGTGTGCTCGTTTGTCACCCTAATTCTTTTAAAAGGTGCTGTGGAATCGTTTGTTACCATTACTTCTATAAAAAAGAGTTTAGTGTATCTTTTAACACTGACTAATATAGCTCAAGGACCAGGTGTTTGTCTTAAGTTTTATAGTAAGGAAGTTACCTTAATTCGATTCTGTAACATGTGCGTGCAGATAAAGGAAAATATCGGGAATCCCGTATGTCCGCGAAATGTGAATTCCATTGGTTTATCGACTTGTAAAAGACCATTTCTTTATATTGTGGGCCTCTTCCTGTTGTATGGAAGATTTACTACAAGGATTGACGATCGATGCGAATACCACGAGGTAACTCCTGATTCTATAAATTATCAGTGTCATCGTATTTTAAACAATAGAAGAAGTTAAACGTAATTTCGTATGAATATGGATTTAAAAAAAAGATCGAAAACGATAATTACGATAATAATATAATATTTTTAAAGAAAAACAAATATCGAAACGAACGTCACTAACGTCACTTAAAATAAAGTAATAAAGCTTATGAAATGGCCCGTGTTTCCACAAACCATTCTATTTCCGTTTTCAATTTACGTCGAGATTTCTTGAATAAACGCTTCCATGTTTTGATGCTTTGTTAATAACCACCTTCAGCCTTGTTAATGCATGTGGAGGGAATTATTTACACTTTATAATGTTAGAAAAGTAATAAATAAAATATAAGATGGGGATTATTTAGGGCCAATTTGCTTAACCCTTTAATTCGCAGTGTTAATTATACTCAACTATTAATAAAAATATTTCTTTGTTAGAAATTGTTGATTATTTATATGGTAACACTTTACAATCGGAGAGGCAAACAAACTGACAAGCTAAAAAAAAGTATCTCACACGTCACACGTCAAAATTTGATACTTAGCCGCAAAATGGCGTCGGGTGCAGCAGCAATGCGTGACCGTAAGGTAATTTATTTCTGAATTTCGCGATTGTCATAAGATTTGTACATTTATTTTGCTATAATTGTGTTTGCAAATAACTAACCTTTGTTTTCATCTTATTATTGCATCCCCAACTGCATTTACTAATGAAATAAAACAAGCGTTTGATGCATGTTGAGTATTTTTAACGTTACGAGACATAGACTAAAGTACATATAACTGGGTACGTTAAGAATACTCAACGTTGCCCGACACATAGAGTAACATTAATGCTGTTTTATATGGTGTTTTTTATGTTTGTGTTTTTTTTTGGTAATGAGTTATGGTTTTTAATAGCTATCTTTTTAATGGTTATTGTTTTAAATGTAATGCATTTGGGTTTGTTTGAAATTATGCGAACTTCTTTAAGTGTATTTGCTTGGTTATTTGGGTTTTGCATACTTTTTTTGGTTATTGAAGGTAAAACCACAATGGGAGCGGACTAGGCGTATTATGGCTTTGGTGCCTCCTGCATGCGCCCCTTCTGATAGTAGCAATACTTCAGAAGATGAAGACCAGGTTCCTAAATTACTAGAACACGTTGAGACGAATGACTTATCTGATTTTAGTTCCGAGCCAAAATCAATAGAGTCTTCTTTAGAAAGGTTAAATATCCTGGACGATCTATCTGATAATAGTAACTCCAATATCCAACAAAATCCAGAATCTCCCATATCTCCTTACGAAGAAGATACAGTCCCATTGACTCCACTTATGAATGAGATATTTAGACCGGGGTCAGAGTTACTACATACCTTACCTACATTAAATTCGCCACTTTTATCTGCACTTCCGGAAAATACAAGATCAAATAAAAGGAAAGCTATCAATAGACCGAAATTAGTAACAAAAAAGGTAAAAAAATATATCCGCAAACCTCTTAATTTCATATGGACAAAAGGTAAATTTAAATATGCAGGAACTGTTGAAGACCTGTTTCAATTCAGCACACCTACCGATACTAAATCTCCTCTTGACTACTTTTATTCTTTTTTTTCGCAAGATATTATAGATCTAATAGTGGATCAAACAAATTTATATGCTGTACAATGTGGAGGGGGGCAAGCGAAAGGCATAAATATATCCAAAGATGATATTCGTGACTTTCTCGGCATAACCATTTTAATGGGAGTAGTGAAAATGCCATCTTACAGGGACTATTGGAGTCAAACGTTAAGATATGCACCTATTGCCGATGTCATGCCCCTGAAAAAGTATGAACAAATTAGAAAATACCTCCATTTTTCGAATCGATATTCGATGCAAATGATGACCGTTACTATAAAATACGTCCCATCGTCGAGAAAATAAGACAAAACTGCCTATTAGTTGAAGAAGAAGGAAGGTACAGCATCGATGAAATGATGGTACCCTATAAAGGCACTAGGGCAGGCAGCCGCCGGCAGTATCTGCCAAAAAACCCAAAAAATGGGGCTTCAAAATGTTTATACGAGCAGGAGTTTCGGGACTAGTATATGATTTTTTGCCATACGGTGGTGACGATACTTTTAGGGGCATGTCATTTAACGAGTATGAAAAAGCCTTGGCTTAGGGGCTAAAGTGGTTCTGGCTCTGGCGAAGACTATACAGAAAAGACCTGCAATTTTATACTTTGATAATTTTTTTACGTCACTTGAATTGATACATCTTTTACGTGACGAGTACGGATTATTCAGCTTGGGCACAATTAGAAGCAATAGACTGAGAGGATGTGAAGATAAACTACCTACAGATAAAAATTTGGCAAAAAAAGGAAGGGGTTCAAGCAAGCAAGTGGTTTGCAATAAAAATAAAATTGCTGTTATAAAATGGCATGACAATAAAACTGTTACCCTTGCTAGTTCATTTGTGGATTCGCACCCTATTGAAAAAATCAAGCGTTATTCCAAAGATACTAAGACAAGGGCAGAAGTTGATTGTCCTCAAATAATAAAACAATATAACTTGCACATGGGGGGCGTCGACCTGGCCGATATGTTAATCGCAATTTATCGCAGTTCTTTCAAAACCAAGAGGTGGTACATGGCTATATTTTCGCAAGCCATAGACATATGTGTCAATAATGCATGGCTGTTATACAAAAGAGATAACAATATATCACTCAGTAAATGCATGCCATTAAAAAAAGTTCCGGATTAATGTATGCACAGAACTATTGAAAAAAAATAGAGTTCCCAAAGACACGAATAAGGAAAATAATGCTGCTGCCCAAATTCAATTACCATCTGCTCCGAGACCACCTGATGCTGTACGATACGATAACACTGGGCATTTGCCAGTATTTGTTCCCTATGGTAGGTGCAAATTTTGTAAAAACGGTTTCACAAATATGCAATGTACCAAATGTTCTTTGAGACTATGCTTAGTGAGTAAGAGAAATTGTTTCTATAACTTCCATGTAAAACAGTAAACTTTTTATTTTAATGTATTCGCTTTATTTTTGATCATCCACAAAAGAGCAATGTTGAAAATACTTAACGTCTCTACATACCTTTAATTCTTTATATCTTTCGTGATGTTGAGTATAATTAACATATGTTTTCTCAAAAACAGTTTTTCAAAATATTTTTTTATTATTTTTATAGACATTGTTATTATATGAAATATATTTTTTGTACAAGAACTATTAAATTACGAAAAAAAAAAAATTACTTGCGCGTTAAAGGGTTAAGGCGGACTACTTTTCGATATAGAGGTTCATCTGGGGGAAGGACAGCTTTTTGTCTATTTTTCCGCCAAGCAACAGTGAATGCACTGATGTGTTTCAGTTTAGGTTTTAGAGAGTCACTAAAGTTACAGGTTGTGGCTTTGTGGATTTTTTTGTTTGAAGTTTATTGTTCGTCAAATATGTGAAGGCGGCATAAGAGAGGCGGCGTAAGACACCTAAGGAATAAAATGAAATGCCTCATTTCTACTTTAAATCATATCTTGTTCTCTTCTCTCACCATATAAAACACAACAGTATTAAGCTGCTATTGTATTCTGTGAGAGTGTGGTCCTTCCCTGTTCAGTATTTTTCTATCGGATAGGGTGACGAACGAGCACACAGTCCACTTGATGGTAAGTGGTTCCTGTGGCCAATAGATATATATCCTTGATTACGAATCGAGATGCGGATGCGTTGTCACCCGTGAGGACTAAGATGGAATGCCTCGTTTTCAGTAAATAGAATCTCCGATTCTCTACACTCACCATAAGAAACACAGCAGCATTAAGCTACAACCAATTTGTGCCACAACCATACTACAATTACACTATGGTTATATAGGATATACTTAAATACGCGGTAGATCTATGCTGCAAATATATTTTAAACGATAGTTACAAAAAAGTTATAAATGAAAGTGATCTCCCTATAAAAAGTGCTGTCGCTTATTTTACCCTCTATTTAGCGGAGAAAGGATTCGTTCACCGCTTCTTGGCCATTAGCAGCGCTGAATAGGAGTTTTAAAATGTACGCTTTAATTTATCCTTTCGAGATATTTTTAACCAAATTGCACAATCCGTATAAAGAACAGATAGTTTATATCCATTAAGTCTATAATTGAAACAAAGGGAGAAATTTGTTCGAGATTTGTTTCGAATTGCCGACAAATAAATAATCAAGAAAAAATATCTCTATTTACGGTTGATGGTTTATTGCATTGTGTCGTCATGATGAAAGATAGTTCAGTTGTTAGTCCCAATTTATCTGAAATAAATATATATATAAGTTTCTAAAAGTATACGTAATTCAACGTGAAACGCAGTCGGCAATATACTACGGGAATAAGACTATGCGATTATTTTTATTTTTTATCTTATTAAGTATTGTGTATTATTACAAAAGTAGTTCTCAGAATGAAAGTTTAACGCAAATTTAGTCCAGCAATTTATCTCCAAAAGTAGGGACTTTATTGGAAATTGCTCGTCCATGTAGTCTGTAATTTTCTACTTGGGTAAACATTTAAAATTTTCAATTCTCTTCGCGGTGGCCCAAAATTGAAACTATAATAATACACTATTATAATATGTTTGAAATATATGCATATATATAAAATGTTTTGAAACAAATTCCCAGGAAATGTTCTATTAACAGTCCGGTGTTGAACATACGATTTCCTGATTTCCTTTTATTTTGAGTAGCTAACACGAAGACACTGGGTCCATCTCCTGTTCTAGTTTCCCTATGTTGCCTCTCACGTCACCCAAATGAAAATACGCCGTATAGGATTCTCTTACGCTGTCACAAATCAACAATTAAAAAAAATTGGATATGATAAGATATTATAATAGTAATACATGGATGAAATACCCATTGAAAAAATTGTGTAGCCTTTTCTATAATTATTCTTATAACTATTATGTTTTTTTTTATATATATTGTATAAAATTATTGTACATTTTTTATATAAAAATATAATTCACAGGGTTTTTTTGCTGATTTTTACCGGGACAGAGGTTTTTTCCGAATAAGTGGTAAATTAAAATTGTCATTCTATAACTATTACGTAATAGTCTTAATTTAATTAATATGTTCCATTCTATTTTGTATTAAAGTATCCGTATGTATATTATTCTGCGCTATATAATGTAAAATTAATGTTATTTTTTTATTTAAAAATAATTTAATTAATGAAAAATACCGCGCGCCCCACTATTCAAAATTTCGAACTTTTTACAAGGTTAATATAATATTGATTAGTTTCTTGAACACAGCGCCATATATCGGATCCAAAGTCCGTGATTTTATTTTTGGCATTAAAACAACAAATATCGTAACCACTGAAGTATTACTGTTACTATCTAAAAGCAACATTCAAAAGTGTCAAGTGTCATTCAATATCAAGGATATAAAAATATTATGAAGGTGGAGACTTTTTTGCACTAAAAACTTAATTGGCCGAGTTTACAGCCGAATTCGTTTCGTTTATATATCCTTTATTGGAACAAAGACAATTTGTATAAACGCTCGTTCGAAAATCTGACAGACAGACATCCTGTTTTATGAGTTGACTTGTAAAGGAAGCGTTCTTGAAATTTTTTGTTCTTGAAAAAAGAAGAATAAATTCGGACCTTTATACGCGTTAGAGCCACACAGCAGTATTATTATGGTTGTTGCACGAATGGGTCGGCTCAACCGGGGAAGGATCACGCCCTCGCAGAACACCTGCGTAAGGTCCTCCGGGACGGCAACGCATGTGCAATTTTAAACTTAATCAAAGATAGAAATGTAGATGTCGACATACCACAACATCCACTTACCATCAGATTGACTGTGTGCTCTTTTTTACCTTTATTCTATAAACAAATAAAACTTATAAAAGCGGTCTAGGTGCGACCAGAAACGTCTACACGACTAACTTCCCAGTAGAATGAAAAAAAACATATGTTTTAATATTTTATACAATTTTTCACTCGGCACAAAAAACTACTTGACGATTTTGCTCAAAATTGAAGTTACATAATTATGCGTTAAATGGTCCCATGTCAATATCAATGTTTGGTCTGAAGATACATGAGGCGAAAATTGAATCCAAACATACATACTTACGGACATCCTCTAAAAACCATATTATTCGACTCTGAAGACCTTGAATCGTCTTCAGAGTCGAGAGATATGTTAAAATTTCCAATTTAAAAAATCGGCGCCATTACAGTAACTTCCCACTGGGAAGTAAAAATTTCACCAAAAATATCCTTCACTTGCCTTTCCATACCTTTTTACTTCAGAAGTCATTCCGTACGTGTTAGTAACCAAATATAAAATCTTAGAAACTACGGTTCGTAATGGTTTATCACTGGCAGAGTTCCTGATTGAGTTGATTTTTTATAGCATTAGGTGACAAATGAAATACAGCAGCATTACGCTGCTATTTTACGCTGGTTTTCAGTGAGAACCAGGTCCTGCCCTGATCGAGCCGACCCATTCATGCTACAGCTACAATATAGCTGCAGCTTGGCTCTACCACGTAAAAACAAAAACATAAACACTGTCTTAGCAATTTACATCAGTGCTCAAGTAGACTATTAGTGCTACCCCGTACTCATGTCATCAGGAATGCTGTCTGCTTACGTATATTACGATTATCATTACGAACATACATAATGATGACCGTATAGTATTTATGATCATTTACATTCATATTGCTGATAAATAAATAGGCGAAATACCGGTTTAATTTCTTCCTACACTAATTTATTGTGTTAATGTATCAATAGCGAAATAAAAATAGTCTATTTTGCATAAAATAAACATGTTTATATAATCTCTTTCATAATATCATTTGGTGGTAAAAGTTCTTAAAGATTTCTTAATTTCATTGATCTCAGTGAAGCAACGGCCTCGACGTGCTTGGTTTAACGCACTTTAGAGCAAACGCTAGTTGGCGGATTGTGTCTCCTATTGTCTTCGTTCTCTTGTTTGAAATAAATATAATAAGGTAACATTTTTCTTCACAAAAACCTAGATACTTCCTGCAAATAACACGTTACTTTTTTGTTTAATGTTAGTCCAGGTGTCCTTGGACTTCCGTAGCTATAGGTATTTAGATGGGAGGCTCCAGTGCCATTAGCAATACCGATATTACGAAAAAAACTAAAATAATTTATAAAAAGGCAACCACTATATTAATGAAATATTTCCAATTCCATATTTCATTTCAATTTTTATTTGCTACATTTTCCAGTATTATAGTATACTACCCCAAAAATGATCACTTGTTTGAAATCGACACATCATATATAAGCCAAATACTACTCGTGTTCCGTTAGTCAAATCAAACTTGTACTGGGTCGGGTCTATTTGTTTTGGTAACTAAATACAGTATGTTAAAATAAACACTCGACTTCAACGAGATTATAAATTATTTGTAGTAAAGCATCAAAACGTAATGGAGTGAATTGTTGCAATAATATCAATAGTGTGCAATTTACCGTTACCGTCTCTTCAGTAAAAGACTTTAGACTAATTCATTTTTATATTCTTATCTCGCGATCCGCCTGACTTCGCACGGATGGCTTATATATATATATATATATATATATATATATATATATATATATATATATATATATATATATATATATATATATATATATTTCACTTCTACATAAAATATAAGGAAAATCATGAAATAAAAAATGTTTGATGAATGTTAGTGGAACAGTTGGAACAGAACACAGAACCCACGGCTGATCAACTGTTGAAAATTTTTAGGAGGTATTTACTATAAAAAATTGAATAAAGAATGAAAATTTCTTTTTTTTAATTTAATTAAAAATTATTTGTTAAATTATTTTAATATAAACCTAACTAAAATATATAATAAGGATAAGTCGCTCGCGTCCGTAGGCTTTGACCACCTATTCCTAGGCCCACCCTACACATGTCCCCCGGGTGGTGCTAAATGAGCGACAAGCCGATACCACAGACTCGGCTCCACGCCGTGGTAGCGGCGTAAAATATACTACCCCATATTTCGCACCATGAGTCAAGAAATAGAAGAAATGGCCCCGAATCCCCGGCGCCCCTTTAATGGGGCAGGGGTTCGAAGAATCTCCGGGAGGAAAACCGGCGACGAGGTTCGCCACCCGTCACGTTCTCTCTCCCGGAGAGGAGAAAAGTGGATTGCAGAGGCCCGTCTGGCAACGTTGAATGTATGTGGGGCAATGAATGATAAAATGGATGAAGTATGCGATATGATGTATGATAGAGGAATAGATGTGTTATGTGTAAATGAGACGAAAACGTTATACGTGGTAGAGCCATGCTGCAGTTATATTAGATGTATAGTTGTAGCACGAATGGGTCGGCTCGACCGGGGAAGGACCACGCTCTCACAGAATACCAGCGTGAAATAGTAGCTTAATGCTGCTGTATTTCGTATGGTGAGTGTAGAGAACCGGCGATCCATTTTACTGGAAACGAGGCATTCCATCTTAGTCCTCACGGGTGACAACACATCTGCATTTTGATTCGTAATCGAGGATAGATGTAGATGTCTATGGGCCACAGCAACCACTTACCATCAGGTGGACTGTGTGCTCGATTGTCACCCTATCCTATATAAAAAAAAAAGGAAGGGGAAGGATGTCACTACACATGGCATGTATACCACATACTGGTCTGTAGTCTGTAGTGTAGACGAGATCGAGCGGGCATGCCAGGGAGTAGGTATCATCCTTTCAGAAATAATGGGCCAATGTGTGAAAGAGTATGAATGTGTAAGCCCAAGACTGCTATGGATACGAATGAAAGTATGCTTAAAGAAGTTGTTTGTATTAGGGGTCTACGCCCCAGACATGTCTAAGCCCACTTATATCCGAGAGCAGTTTTGGGAAATGGTAAGGATGGTGTTAATGAAGTGTAAGGGAAATGAAAATATTATTATGCTAGGAGATTTTAATGGAAGGGTTGGGGTGAGGAGGCTTGGTAATGAAAGGATATTGGGAACGTTTGGT